AAGTTATCTGTGGGCAAGACGTTTCGATTTGTTTTCTGTTACCGATGTTCGAATTGGACTTTCTTCAGCAAGATCTTTTATAGAAAGCTCAGCCCCAACCTTCATAGTTTCCTCACGGTTAGTAAAAGGTGCCTCCTTGAAAGTCGACTCAGTGTTGCTGTCTATCAAGAATGACTTTCTCTGATGAACATTTTCTTGCAAAAACTCTGCACGGCTTGGCATTAGTTTGCTATAATCTCTTAGGGAAGCAAATCGTCTTGAAACTCCATTGCATGACTCCTTGATATTAGCCGTTGGCAGAGCAATTATTTCCCCTTGTGCATCATTCGAGGACGAGGTCCTTAGCACATCGTCTTTCTTACAATTCAGTTGTACTCTGTCCTCATGGCTTATAGCAGGCGACGAACACACATTTTCAGCAATACTACATGGAACAACAGAGCAAAGAGGGTCCACCAAAGATGTACTCGAAGATTTTTCATCTTGAGAAAGCAGCATCCCGTCATTTCCTCCGTTGGAGAAATTTTCAGTGTGTATGCTTAATTGAGAAGCTATTGTGGCCCCTCTATTGTGATTCTGCACAAAAGAGTTTTCATCCGGAGCAGCATCTGCGGACTCCGACAGAAAGCTTGTTTCACCAGCAAAAGGTTTTGGGATGCTATATTTCACAGTGGTAAGCCTCACTTCATTCTGTGGAGAAACGAGTACAAAATAAACGCAAGCCACAAAAGTATATAAATATGTTGAGAGAGAAACAAAAATAGAGACTAATCTCTTTGTGTGTGTGTGTGTGTGTGTGTGTGTGGTAACTTTTCGAGTAGTACTTACGTTACTTGTCCAACCACCAAACCAGCGGCTTTCAAACCGTTCTGGAACAGTACTTGATAGAGTATAATGTTTTCCTGTCAAAGAAGGGGAAGTAAGATGCGGGAATTCATAATTATTTTCTTAGAGCACAAGAAAGAGTAGGAGTTGGAAGTGCAATGCAATACTTTACCCCTATCTCGACAGCTTGTAATTGGTGAAGACCTCATATTTGTTTCATCTGAACTGTTTTCTGCTGTTGTTGCATTGACTTTCTGCAGGTTGGACGAAAAAATGATCAACAAGTTTGACAAAATTAAAGAAGGTGAAAATCCTGAAGTGTTAGTGGAATCGCAAAACAAAAGAAGGGAAATCAAATTTAATTTTTTTCTGTACCTCTGCCAAAACGGAAGGATGAAGTTTTGCCCGAGTGTCAACAGTCTTCAAGCAATCAGGGCGGTACGCAACATCAGTTCCCAAAGCACACACTGCATTATCAATTACCCTATTTTGTTTGTCACCGTCGAAACATTCTGCGGAAAAATCTGTTTTGAATTGTGTGTCATTGTCGATAGCACCTTCTATTTCATGTGTATATCTATCATCACAAGATTTACCCAAAACGTTTGCAGAGTCAAAAGTATCCTTAACTTGAGATACACTCAACTCATTTCCGAGCAACTCATCAAAATGAATCCCGGTATCTTCATATGCACTTCCCATAATTATATCATCCAAATCGGATAAGTTATCAATTTCACTGAGTACATCAATTGAACCACTTAAGTTATTCTTCCAAACTTCCAACCTTGCTTGCTTCACCTGAAGAGAAGCTTCAAGTATAGCTAAAGCGGATGAAGATTTTACAAACGAGTCACCCTCTACGACTTCATTAATGGCCAATGCCTCGGATGCTGCTATGCACAGTTCTACTGCATCATCAGAAGCTTCAGCGAAATCCACATCTTCATCGAGCTTTAACAACTCAGCTGTTGGACACATATTTACTGCACCAGCATTACCGAACAAACTTATCTTAACACCATCTTGCCCTGAATTTCTCAACTTTTCAATAGGTTGGGTGACAGGAGGACACTTGGGCTCTGTTTGGCGTGCATCGGTAGTTAGATTCGAGTTCTCTGAATTGCCATCTAAAGACAGACAAAGATGAAACTGAACCACCTTCAGAAGAAAAAAAAAACGTAGTCTATCAGAAATTTTGTGGATAACGTAACTTTTAATCTGTAAAACAAGTATTATGATAAAGCATAACTAACCAACATGATACCAATAACAAAGTCCAAGGACACTGTGTCAGGAACTAAATCCAATCAGAAATAAATATAATATCTGATTGGTGACAACATTGCAAAAAAAAGAGGGAGCGAGAAACCGTACATGTTCCAATGAAATACCGTAGTCTGCCTAGAGATGTGTACAAGGTGCGATGCACCACTTTGTTACTTTTTGATATAGATTGTAAAATTTTGGAAATCGAAAACTCATAAACAACGGCAATCAAAAGATTGTGAATTACTAATTACATTACGAACCAAGTAGAGAAATTAATGGCAGTACTAAATTTTTGTTAGAGACAGAAACTTACATTATCAGCAGACCGAGCAAAACTAAAAGGTGAACTGTCAGTCCCGGATATAAATAATCGACCAATGTTACATCCACTGTCTTCCCTCAACGATTCTCCATCGCCGATGCCCGTGTGGAGAAATTGCAATTCCTATCAAAATACGACAAGTAAATTCTAGTCATGTCATATAAGAAATCGGCCGATTATAGAAACTGATCGGCCAATTAAAGCAATACATATAACAACTGAAACACGAGAAAGCGTCTAACCTCAACACGTTGTTCGAACGTGATACGGTCTTTCTCAATTTCTTCCACATTCAATCGTGTGGCATTGCATTGCTGAAGCCATGCCGGTAGCCACGCGTCATCCTGTCAGCAGCCAAAAAGGGTGAATTTCACAACAACAATCCCAAAACAAATTTAAAAAAAAATTAAAAAAAAATATGAAGGGATCGATGATTACCTCTGAGAATTGGGGAGGGCGAAATCCAGATAAAGTGGCCATAAGGATAAATTAGGGCGATAAACGATGACTATACCGTCGTTCGGTGTAACATCGGCGGCGCGGCGGTCCTGGCGGAGGCTGGAGGGGGGTGGGGTTGCTCGAGGGTTTACGATGAGGGGTTTAGCCGATTGTTGGCGCCAAAGTGGATTTTGCCGGGAAATGTAGTAGTACCAGTAGTTGATTCTCTGCATACCCAATAAAAACAAAAATGTAAATTATAAATAACCCCCTAGGTATTCTTAAATTGCAAAACCGCCCCTCTTGTTTGTGAAATCATAGTTTGTTCCTTAATAAAACGAAAACAAAAAATTATGAAAATAAATTGCAAATAGGCTGCGGATATATACAAGCCCATTTTTTTATTAGTTCAAGACCTCCAACATAAAAATACTAATTTACCCTTAATGAAATTCAAAACCAAATAAAAAACACAAAACATTAAAGAAAATAAAAATTCGGCGTTACAACGCCGATTTTGACTTGTAAAGTCGACGTTGTGTTGCCGATTTGATTAACAAAAATCGGCTTTATGACGCCGATTTTCGTGTACAAAATCGGTCTGGGTAAACCGATTTGGGAAGCCAACGAAAACACACACAAAAACCAATCTCAATTTTTTTTCTTAAATCGGCTAAAGCATTGCAACCCAACAAGAAATAAGTATAGATTAATGTTCATCCACACATATTTATCAAGAATCGATGCTCGATTAATGTTTTCGAATTTACAAACAATAGTTTAGTAAAAAAGTGGTGATGGTGCGGCGGTCGTGGTGCGGTGGGTGGGTTGCTGGTCGTCGCCGGCGCGGTGGAAGTCTCGTCGGTCGGCGTCGAGGCGACAGTCGTGCGTCAGCCGTGAGGGTTTTTTTTTTTTTTTTTTTTTTTTCGTGTTGAACAAATTAAAAATAGGGTTTGTTTGTATTTGGGTATTATTTGTGGATAGAGGTATATTCATCCTCTTTAGTCATGATGTAATAAAATTAGATTAAATTACGGGCTTGAACTAATAAATATCTTTATGTGGGTTTGAACTAATAAAAAAATGGGCTTGCATATATCCGCCGCCTTGCAAATAAGCTCTTCTAGCCTCGTTTGCTTGCTACTATTAGGTTAGATTAACTAAATAGTATGAATTAGTAAGATGTTTGGTTGGTAAGATTCAAAATTACTCTAGCCCGCTATTAAAGTTGAAGCCCTCTAATTAAATGTTACTACGTCATGAAATTAGTAACACCCCTTCCCCTACGATTAATTTTGTAGAGGTGATTAAAACGGAATATTACAAATTTAACCTTAAAATAATAATTTAATTTTGTTAAATAGAAAATTTTATAGACAATTTACATATAATAACATAATTTAACAAATTTAATACAACATGTAATCTAAAGAACCAAATATATTATGAACTAATTAAGTAGTTAACCAGTAGGGAATTAATCCAATTTAATCTAATCTGATCTAATCCAATATAGGTAAGCAAACGAGGCCTCTATATATTACAAATAGCGTCTCGTGTATGTCTAGATATTGCAAAAATCCCTCTTCAGTTAGCGAAATTATATTTATACCCTGAAATCAACAAATCTCAAATTTTTAAATTGCTCCTAAATTTAAGACAAAAATTGTTAAAATATTTTAACACTAAGATGGTGTTTGCAGACGCTTTTCCAAAGTAATTATGAGTTTTTTAATCTTTAAAAAAACTGATTTTGAACACAAAAAAACTCATAATCACTTTATTATTTTATCTTATCTTTATATAGAAAAGGAAGATTTTTGACCTATAACCCTAGAACTAAATTTAGAGGCAATATTGTCATGTTCTATCTAGGTAGTTTTATTTTTTCGTTCTATTTGATTTTTCATTAGGCATTTTTATTTATGTTTCTTTTTTCTTTTTATTTGATTTTTTTTACAAAATGTTTTTTGGGGCGACTTTTCTAGATTACACGATTAATAGGTACCAAAATAAAAACTTCTCCCAATAGTAAAATGATACGGGTAAAACCTACGTATTAATAACCGCAAGCAAGTGTATAGTATCGCGTTTTGTAAAATAGCCAGATTTCAATCCACAAGAAATTAAGTTCCTAAATTTACCAAATACCGTAATTGTACTATCCTAAACTTTATCCAGACGATCGAAAAGATGGGAGATGAAATGAAGCTAAAAGGAAGAAAAAACAAACAATGGTCCACCAGGACAAACGAAGAATTCCGACATGTGATGGCTTCTTGTGTAAAATCCACCAGTGTACCATCGATAAAGATCCACAAGTCCGAATCTAATGCCAATTGAATATTCGCTAACCCAGACACAAAAATACTCTCACCTCCATCTCCAATGTAGTTAGAGTCTACTCACAAGTCCGACGTCTCCGTTCATAACCTGATATTAAGAGAGCATTTAGGCCAAGTCCTTAAAGGCTACCCGAGGTGCATCACGTCTCCGTTTCCACAACCCGAATTATGTTTTCATAAAATCAAACGAGAAATCCTCTCTTGAGTTCATTTCCATTTACAATCAATTCAACTGTTGGCCAAACAATCGAAAGCATTTAATACAGGAAAACATAAATAGAATCAAAGAACGACAAATAGATCACATATTTGAAAATCAAAATCAATATATACAAAGTTTCATTTCCCTAAAAGAAAATGCTCAGTTCATTACAAACATAGCATCAAAATGAAGAACACGAAAAACCATAAACTAAACGTAAAGAAAAAGCTTATGAAAAATCCGAGTCGAAACCCTCGTCGAAACTTCCCGCAAAGAACTGGCGAAAACCGTAGAGAAAATCGAAGAAAACCCCCAAGAGGAAGTCAAGAGTGAAGAAGAGATATATTTATAGTAAGAAAAGAAAGAAAAATATCTGATCTCGATTTTTGTGCTCAGATCGCGATCTAGCTTCTGGATCGCGATCTAGCAGCCTCGAAAACTGTGCACCGCCTTCTAGATCACGATCATGAGTTTTGGATCGCGATCTGGGCCTCTTTTGTGTGCTTACTGGAAGAAGACAAGAGGTGACGAAACATTAAATGCTCGGCAGAGTCAAAGTCACCAATTGTTCTACAAGGCCAGTAAAGATGTCGCTAGAAGAAAACAAGAGGTGACGATTGTACTGTTGAGATAGAGAGAGAAAGGTAGAGTGAAACGACGAGATTAGAATGAGAAGCTAGGTCAAAAGAGAAAGTGTATGAAAAAGGTCAAATGTACGTCCAAGGTTGAACCAACAAAAGTGGACGGTCAAGATCAGGGTTTGATTTGGGGTATTGAGCTTAAGTTGTTTGGGCACAATTTCAAGTTTTAGGCCACCGAGAATTGAGCGAAATTCCAAATTTATTTACGGGCCAAATTCTTAACAAATCTCCACTTGTGACCAAAATCTTGGCCGTAATTTGGGTTCCTAAACACTAATCACAGAAATTCTAGTTTTAGATCCATAATTATATATTCCTCAAAGGAAGCAATCACAAAGATTTTTTGCAATCATCAAGAAAGCAAGACCATGCACGAAGTAGAAGAAGCTTTTCCTTTCACATTTTTGATAATTTAAGAAATCCCTAGAATTCGATTCCTAACATTTGTTAACATGTAATTAACGAAATAAACATGAAATAATTGCAATATATGTAATTTGTAGTAGACATTACTTTCAAATTTTGGAATTTGAGAGCATTTGTGGAGGATTGTTGTGAGTTTTGGGGATTTTTGGGGGTTTGGGTAAATTTAGAGAGAGAAATTAGTTTGGTTAATAAATAATATTCGTAATTTTAATACCGTAAAAATCATTTCAGTTGCTAATACTGCAATTTATAAATTAGATGTTTGATGTCAATTTTTTTTTTTTGTTTTACAAGCATATTGCTAAGTTTTCTTAATGATCGAATACTCAAGTTTTACTTAAAACAATCGTCAATTTATACTTAAAAAAGAAAATCCAAATATCAAAAGCCATTTTCCAAGTACGGTAAATTCCACTTTTCCCCCCGTACTCTGGCTCGGCGTCACTTTACCCCTTCTACTCTTGATCGCATCGATTTGCTCCGCTACACTTAAAAAATTGTCTCAATGTGGTCATCGTTGTTCATTGTCAGACATTTGACCTTAACACCGTTTGATCTAAGTTCTGAAAAAAACGCCGTCTCTCTCAGCTAAAATTAAACGGTGTTAAGGTCAAATGTCTGAAAACTAACGGCAATGGCCACATTGAGACGAGTTTTCTAGTACAGGGAGGCAAATCGCTGCAATCGAGAGCAGAAGAAGCTAAAGTGATACCGAACCAAAGTACAAGAGGAAAAAGTAAAATTTACCCTAAAATGTACAATAAAAAATAAGAGAGAGAAAAATATTGTTTTTTTTTTTAATATATACATTTTAGTTTTCCTTGCTGGACACCTTACCATCTCAACTTCCATTCAAAACCAACCACATACTTTAGGAACCAACCCTGAACACACACACAGACAGCAACAACAAATGTGAAAAAAACCTCAACCCCATTTTGTTTCTCGAAAGCAATTCAGACAAGTGTGTAATGGCGTGCGCATTATCAGGAAGCAGCTGCGCCATTTCTGCACCGGCGAGCAGCAGCAGATTGCTGTTCAACAAGTTCCCCAAAAAGAGGCAAACTCTGCACTTTTCTTCTAGGGTTAGGGCTTCTTCCGAGGATCAAGAGGATTGCAACACCGAAGAATGCGCTCCTGATAAAGAGGTCACTTTCTCAAACTCCCTTTTTTTTCTTTTTTCTTTTTTTCTTTTTTTAATAATTCAGACACACAGACAAGAAATTGAAATGAAGAAAAAAAAAAAGGAACCCTTTGTCTATATGGATATGAAATTATTGTATGCATATGTGTGCAGAGAAGTTTTGTTTGGAAAGTTGGTTTCGGGTTTTCGGGTTTCGGACCTCGAGAAAGAAAAAAGAAAAAAAACTGGAACCTTTGATTGGATAATCTGATGCTATGAAACACAAACATTGGAATACGAAAACTTGGGAGAACGTGTAAATATTAAAAAATAAGGGAGTATATTTATAAATTAAAAATTATAATCAGTTGAACCTCTATAAATTAATAGTGGGAACATAGGGAAATTCTTCTAATTTAGTGAATTATCAATTTATCGAATTAATAATTTAACATATTTTAACCGAGTCGGGACCGAGAGAAACTATTATTTAAGCAAGGCTATTAATTTATCGAAGTACTACTGTATTATTTTTATAAATTATTTATATAAATATTGATATGAAGTATAAATTTGCAGTTATAACCATCAAATGTGTAGAGAAATTAAGTAAGCAACAAAAATATTTGGAAATTCGTTATTGAAACGTGTTTCTAATTTTTCGATTTGAGTATTCCGACACTTCAGTCAGGCTTATTGAGACATATTAAGTACGTGTTGAAAATGTGTTCGTTTTTTTTTTATTTAATAGAGAGATTGTACGTTATTTCTCGCATCATCGTCAGTCGTCGCATTTTGATCCCCAACGTTTGGGTTAGAGCTCTCGAGCTCAAGTTTCCTCGGTTTTCATGGCTGTTGAGTAGAGTTACAAAACGAAGTTCGACTAATATATCTACAGACTACAGACAAGACTGGATATATATGATATGTATACATGTATTTCTCTGTTGCCAACTAATTAAGTATAATTTCAATACAATCGATGAAAAAATATTAACGAGTCCTATATATATGTGTATATTTGTCGTAAATGTTTTGAAGCAGGTAGGTAAACTGAGTGTAGAATGGCTGGCCGATGAAAAAACGAGAGTGGTCGGTACATTTCCGCCGCGTAAAAAGGGTTGGACTGGATACGTAGAGAAGGACACAGCTGGACAAACGAATATATACTCCATCGAGGTAACCAAATAAACTAATTCTTTTACGCGCGCATTTCTCCAATCGCGGAGTATCTACGGTTGGAGTTTTACGCTTCCTCATGAATGTTGAATCGGATTTTTTTCTGTTTTTTTTTTTTATATAGAAATAATTAGTTTCGTTGGATAAATGTGAAACTAATTAATAATTAAATTAATTTTCTGCATCAGCCAGCAGTATACATAGCAGAAAGTGTACTCAGTTCAGGAACTGCAGGCTCGTCTGCAGATGGAACGGAGAACACGGCGGCAATATTCGCCGGACTTGCTCTAATCTCCATCGCGGCCGCTTCTTCGGTGGTTCTGCAGGTCGGCAAGAATCCACCGCCGGTCGTAGTTCAGACTGCTGAATACTCCGGCCCCTCTCTCAGCTACTACATCAATAAGTTTAAGCCACCGGAGATTATCGAGGCTTCTTCTCCCGCGCCACCTGTCGCTGATATCGACACCTCAGCGCCTCTGCAAATTACAGAAGAAGCCGCCGCCACGTCTGCAGCACCACAAGAAGTCTCTCAGCCTGATGCCGCTGCTGCTGAGGTGGTCGAACCACAGGACGACACGTCAGCGTCGGTCCCTAACGCCTCTTAGGCTTCCCCGTTTTTTTCGTGTATACGTTCGTTTGTGTCATATACATATATAGGTTGTTCGTTGTTGTGATATATACCATGACCATATATATATAATTTGACAACATGAAATTCGAACATGTTTAGATTGTTTTTTTTTTTTTTACATATAATTCTTTATTGTTCTTTTATGTTGTCTTTAGACTTTCCTCCATGCCACAAAATTAATTATGGACACCATTAAGTTAAAAATATTATTTATATTTATGTTTAATTTCCGCATTTTAATTACTATATGAACCTAATATAAATAAAAATCTCAAATAAATATAAAATTTGTGAAACATTTGGGAGAAAAAATATTATTTTCAAAATTTAAACGTCCAACTTTTTTTCTTAGTATTATTAATCTGAAAATTTATTTCAGGTACTTAAATTTAAATTTTCATAATAAAAAAATATTTAATATATTTAGATGTTCAAGTTGTGATTTCTTATTAACTTTTGAATGCATTTTGTGATTCTTAGAGGTAAAATTGAGTTTATAGTCATACACTCTTTAAAATAACTAGATACACTATAAAATGATAATTAAAGTTTGAGTAGTTAATACCTTTTTAATTAACTAACAATGAACATAAAGTAAAACACAATGAAATTAAAATTCAAAAAATTTCATTCATAAAATTAAAAATATTGAAATAATAAAATTGAAATTTTGATTTTTTTTATTATTACATATTCATTATTTACATAATGGCTAGAAGGAAATTTTGAGATGAAAAAATGCCACGTCATTCAAAGTCAAATAATCGTATCGTTAAATTCATTAACCGAGGAGGTAAGTGCTTACATTTGTAACTTTAAGGGAGTAAATGTTACTAACCCCATACTTTAAGGTGCAAACAGTAAATAACACAATTTTTTTTCTCTTCATATTTATTTATTCTTATAAAATTGATCGGTAATTAATGTTATTTAAAATAGGGTAAATTACAAACACCCCCCTAGGTATGGTAAATTTACAAAAAAATCCCTCTTGTTTGGATAATTACATCTACCCCATCAACTATGATTTTTTCTTACACCTCCACCCTCATGGTGTCAAATTCAACATAATTATCTAGATTTCGTGAAATGTGCTCTAGTTTATACTCGTTTTGTGTAAAAATACAGTTTCTGATGCATCACAATCTGATATATACAAGCCAAAAAAAACATATTATGATCATCTTGCTTCAGAATGTAGAGTTCGAATGGGATAAAACGGGTACAAAAGTGATAATATTCCATATAATCTCGAAGATTCCACTAAATTTGATGAGTTGAGGAGGTGATTGTAAGTATCAAAACAAGAGGGGGTTCTCGTAATTTGACCATACCTCAGGGGTAGTTGTAATTTACCCTTTTAAAATAAAACAATACGTGTCTAAAAAAGTAATTTTAAATCCGGTTTCTATTCGAGTCGGAGTTACCCACGTAACCCGAACTCGGTGGGCCGACCCAGTTACCACTCATCAGAAGTTATATATATATACAGAAAATACAGAGGTTTTGGGTTTAAGACCTACGCTTCTCGTCTCTGTATATCGAAATTTGAGATGGGAGCAGACGACGACCTTGGTTTGTGCACTGATTTACAGGAGAAGGGGTATGCTTAATTAAATTCCACACACACACACACACACACACACACACAGAAATATGCGCATATATGTTTGATTAATTTGTCGGTTAAATTATGGTTTTTGGTTTTGAATACAGTATGGAAATCGACAAACAATTTCTTGCCGCCCCTGTGAAGACTTCAGTCGACAAGTTCCAATTGCTCCCCGAATTTTTGAAGGTATAAATTTTCCGGCTTTATATTTTTACATATCTATCACTCTAAGTTTCATTTGTTTGTTTTTGAAGGATTTTTTTGTTTTGTTTTTTGATTTTGGTGTGATATCTACGTTTTACTAATTTCAATTTAATTGATTATCATGTTATACTTGATGAGCAGTTGAACCTAAACTACTGGATAACTACTTCGTTTTGATCTAAGTTCCGATAAAAGGGTTCGATGAGTTTGTATTTTGACTGCTAGTTAATTGTGCAAATGTAGGTGAGAGGTCTCGTGAAACAACATCTGGACTCTTATAATTACTTCGTGAGGACGCATATAAAAAAGATTGTTCAGGCCAATGATCTCATCACAGCTACTAAGGACCCTAGTATTTATTTGAGGTAATTGTTTAAGATACTGTAATTTTGTTTGTGCTACGTTCTAAGTTATGCGTCCTTGTACGTTTTGGTTGAGAAGAGAGAAAAAAAAAATGAAATTTTATTGATTAATGTATTTGGTTGCAGATACAAAGATGTTCGCATTGGTGAACCATCAATGGTATTGGACGGTGTTACCGAGAAGCTTACTCCCCAGAAGTGCCGGCTTCTCGACACGACGTGAGTGTCAGTTGTTTTACATATTCATGTCATATGCATTAGACTTGTTTGAGAGGAAATCAGAAAACACATCTGCTGACTATATGTTAAGCACCTATTATTGTGTTAACGCTATCTTTTAAGCACCTCATCAGTGGTTGAGAAACCAAGACGAAGTAAATCCTTTATTGGATATTTTTTTGTAAATTGTTCTCACTGTCTGCTCTTTAAAATTGGCGAGGGAAACGAAACGAAACGAAAAAATTTCAGTGCCCTTGAATGCTTGTGGTAGATTTTGAGAGTTATAGGTTTATCACTAGTGTCAAGATGTTGTGTCGTAGATGTAGTTTTGAATTGAAGATACAATAGAAGGTTTGCTTTTACGTTCTTGAGTATAACCATTGTTATGCATTTTTGCTATTACCAATTTGATTATGCAGTTTTCTTCTTTGAAGTATAGGCACTTCTTTAAGGGCTTGTTGGATGCTGTTTAACTTACCTAATTCGAAAATTCTTTTAATTTTGTTCTTACTTTAAAGCTCATCACTTCTCTTTTGCGTCTAACCTCTAATGATGGGCCATTTATTTCAGTTATACTGCTCCAATATACGTGAACATAGAATATGTTACCGGCAGCCATGGTTCAAAGACAACTCAAATGAAGGTGATACCAATTGAGGGTTTTGTTTATCTATGAACAACATGTAGAAATTTATGCATAAATGTTACCAGAAATGATGCATGCATGCACTTATTCTCCGAGATATAATTTTCAGAGAGATGTCATTATTGGAAGAATGCCTGTCATGTTAAGAAGTTGCTGTTGCATCTTGCACGGGAAGGATGAAGAAGAACTTGCCAAATATGGTATGCGTGCATAATTTTGCTGCCGAAATACATGTTCATTTATATGACCTTTTATTTATTATCAAGCAAGCACTAGTCTCATGGTAATTTTTCATTTTCCTTTACTCTCTTAGGTGAATGTCCGCTTGACCCTGGAGGATATTTTGTCGTTAAAGGAAACGAGAAGGTGACATTTTCATTATCACATTATAGTTCTTTTCTCTTCACGACTACGAATATAAAACATGAGGGAATTTTGCCTTTTATTTTCATATATTATTTTATTTAATCCAAGACATATTTGAGTGTAAGTGAAAAAAGTTGTAAAGCCAATGAAGAAAGAAGTTTGATGTGGCAGGACTGAATAGGTGCTTAAAAAAGAGGATTATTGACTGCTTTTCTGTAACCACCATCTGAAACTTTTTTAAGAACTCAGTTATGAGTATGAATCCGCATAAAATAATTCGTAATGGAATTGTAGTAATGATGATTCAACTTCTCTTTATGATATGAAAATTCGGGTCAACTTCTTACTTGTTGAATCATTCCTTGTCTGGTAATTGTCATTTTTTGGTTCCGCCCATAATTTGCAACACGTCATTAAGAATATAATAGTTCTTCTTTACAGTTAATCAACTTTTAGCATAGATGTACTGAATTTCATCTCATAGATGATTATTTCCTAGGTCTTCTTTTAATTATTTAATTTTTAATTTTATTTTTATCAACATGGTACTTATTTTCCATATCTTCTTCCAGGTACTTTTGATACAAGAACAACTTTCGAAGAACAGAATAATCATCGATACTGATAATAAAGGCTGGTGAGTAGCTATCACTTCACATATTTCTTTTGAGTAACAACATATTTCACTAATATCCAAAGGTATATAATATTCTCTGGCTGAATCCTTTAATCTCTTTCCCTTACTTCCAGCGTGCAAGCATCTGTTGCAAGTATTACAGCGAAAACAAAGAGCAAAACAATTATAAGAATGGAGAAAGAGAAGATATATCTGCTCCTGAATAAGTTTGGAACCAAGGTTGATATCCATCCCTGTCCCTTATTTGTAATTCTGTATCTTATGGCAAGTTTGATGATATCATTATCTTTTCTAGGTTCCGATCATGATAGTCCTTAAAGCTATGGGTATGGAAAGTGATCAAGAGGTTGTCCAGATGATTGGAAGAGACCCTCGTTATAGTGAACTGCTATTGCCATCAATTGAGGTACAACTGGTGTAGGTTCAATTTGAATAGTATTTTTCTCTTCCAAGGAATGTCTTGTCTATATTTTTTTGTTATGATGGTCTTTCGAAACTCAACGAAATTCTGACGGAGCCACTTGGATGTGAATCCAAAATCTTGATAGAAAGAAAGGTTTCAACAAGCTTGAATCGAAAAACATATTTGATGCAGATTGTATCATCTGATACTTTGGTGTCTTCGTTTCAGGATTGTGTAAAGGAATCTGTACACACACAACATCAGGCACTGGCGTTCCTTGACCACAAGGTCTTGTTCTTCTTTTCCCTAAAACAGTATTAATACCCTACAGAAAATGGGAAAAATATTCAGAATAAAGTAGTGTATGAAGCTGTTACGTGCTTGGCTGTTGTTTCTGTAAATTATATTCGCGCATCCTAATTAGCTGCCACGGATGCAATTGTGGAAGTTACTCGGGTGCAGCAAACAGTCTTTCTTTCTTTGAAGATATTGTGTTCTATCCAGCTTGTTTTCATTCTGTAGTAGTATATCTAGTTGTTGACCATTAAGGTCTTTTAATCTTTCATATTTTCAGTAGAAGTTCCGAAGACAACTAATGCATGTCAATTTTTTTGGTTCAAAAGCAGGTGGGCCATGTAAATTGGGTTGAAAACTTTGGGGTTGGAGATAGATAGTTGATCTTATAATGAATCAATCATGCTATATTCCGTATTGCAAAGACATATAGCTACATATCTCTCTGTGTGTGTGGAGATATATGGATATGTTAATATTCAATTGTTAATATAGCTGTAAATTAGATTGAATATGTGCACATAGTGAATAGCAGAGCATCAGATATATAATACTTATTTTTGTTGCTATCTGAAGTATTTGTTCCCTATATGAAACATTACATTGCCATGTATATGATTTCATAAGAATATTTGTCACTTGCTGTTAGTATATGTCTTTTACTTGTTACTGTTTCATGGTACAGGTTAATAATAGGTCATACTATTCTACAACATACGAGAAGGTTGGTCTGCTTATGTTTTTTTCCTTTTGGGTCTTAATCTGACTCCATAAGATTTTTGTTTTCTGTATGTTCTTTATTTCTTTCTTTTGCTCATTTTCTTGTTGGCTATCTTTGTTTGTCATTTAGGAAGGGCGTGCTCTTAGTATCCTTCGAGACATTTTTCTTGCCAATATCCCTGTACGTTCAGTTTGAACTAGTGTTTATATGGAACTTACGACTATTTTTTATTATTATTGAACACCCTGCAACCTACTCAAACCCAAAAAAATCCTGTTACAGGTGGATCAAGATAATTTCCGTTCAAAATGCATATATGTTGCTGTAATGGTGAGGCGCATGATGGAAGCAATCTTAAACAAGGATGCAATGGATGACAAGGTACACCTGCTCACCCTGGTTATTTCATCATAGTCTTTTCTGAGTTAATAAGCAGCAATCTAGGCAGCTTTATAGCTTAAGCAGTTAACTGTCTGTCCTCGGGGTATTCCATTTTGCGACATCATATATGGATTATGATTCTAAGTTTATCTGTCCGTGTACATTCATACTTTTTTCCCTCGTGAAAAATGTTACTAGTTTACCTTGAGGTGTTTCCCCTTAAAAAAAATGCTTAACATCTTCTAATATCAAATCAGAGTTTCCTACAGCGGTTACTTAGTATTTGTCATAAGAAAACTTACTCTAGCAGAAATGACCATTTCTTAGATGACCTGATTTTTGAAGCATTGTCAATTGCTAAATTAAGCCTTTTCTTGGTGATACATCAAATCTTTTTGTATTTGAATGTTCAGTCAAATATAAGTTGGAACGGGGTCGGTGGAATCGGAGTTTGATTTTTTTTTTTTTACTGATTTTAAAATCCAGTGATACGTGTTAGTTAAAGAATTTACCCATACACAAGCGTTGAACTGGAATTTAGTCTTCCTCAAAAGGTTTTATTGTCCTTAAAAGTTCCAAAGAGCTACATTTGAAGAGTGCAAAGTGGAACTGCCAATACTTTATTTTCCAAAGCTCTTGAAATGATGAAATGGGGTGTTTTCTGGCCAAGCTGCCTAGACGGCGGAGATGACTTTTCCATTTTGCAAATAGAGCAATGCAAATAGTCCCACTCAATTTCACTCTTTAGCAAACTCCTAAACTTTATGAAATCCTTGGCAGAAAGAAAAGAAACTTGGTAGCCAACAAAGTGTTGGTATATCTATCTTAGACTAGTTTAGTGCATAGTGACAAATATCGTATCTTCTAATGAATTTCTCACAATTTTATCGCGCTCCATTCAGATTTTAACTTTTTTACTAGCGTTGGTGAAAAGGGAGATGAAATTAGTGTTAAGTTGACCTCTAATCCAGAGACCTTTTCAGCAATGCTACTCTGCTAATGAAAGCATACCTCTGACTGGGAGTTGCAATTAACATGATGCACTTGTTGATTAACCTTTTATCAGAGCCTTATTTGTTTATCTTTTTCAGGATTATGTGGGGAACAAAAGATTGGAACTGTCTGGACAAATGCTATCACTACTTTTTGAGGTACGTTTGCTATCTTCTGATAAAGGTCAATTCTATTAGTATAAGAAATGCACATCAAGGTGGAATGTATGTTACGAGTACTTTTTCTGTCTTCTTTTTTTTACACGATTCTGTTTATCGTAATTTGACTGCTACATTTTTGTTCTTTGTATTGTAGGATTTGTTCAAGTCAATGAACGAGGAAGCTGTTAAAAGTATAGATAAAATCTTAGCAAAGCCAAGTCGTTCTAGTCGACTTGACATCTCTCAGGTTTGTTCTGAGCTGAGATTAAGAATTCAATATAGCAATTAGAATATGGGATGTTTAATTTTAAGCTTCTAAATTCACACTCATTAAGCATATCAATTGTTCAGTCAATCGCTTAATGTTAGAAATGAAAGCGGCATGAGTTACAGGCGTTTTGTTGTTTCTTACCTGATGCATATATCTCTCTTAAAAAACAAAAATTCAATGCCAAGAAAAAGGTATGCAACAACCGATCTGAAATTTCAAAACACAAGTCCCTATATGTGATTGGAATTTTATTTTTTTAATTGATTATTTTGTAGTTGCTATCTGAGTGAGTTACTCTACAAAATCAATAGGATATAAATAAACCAACTGTTACCTAAGAAGTATTTTCATCTCTTTGTTCTCAGTCTATTAATATTTGATGAAGGGGAGATGGTTATTTAAAGATTGAACTGAGAATAAAATCAAAATATTGATATACCTAGCTTGACTTGTAATCCATGACTTGTCGTTAAGTGTTTAGAATTTTCATTTGTTTTCTTCCTTGCAACAACTACGTAGCTAGGGAAGATGTTAATGAATTGATCCGGGTTCATACACTTAGGCTGCTGTTGCATCGTGTTTCCCGAAGTTGGCCTGTTCCCTACATTCTTGTTCTTTTAGGCTGTCAACCATCAATTCAGCTCCATTCATGGCGCTAATTAGATGCTGGAGTTGTTGGTTCCCTGCACAGATTGCAGGCTGCTCCTGTCCGTTTCACCATTTCCTCTCTTTATTGCCTTTTTTTATGCTTACAGTATTCCGGCTCTATTTTCCGTTCTGTCCTTTGGCTAGTAAGAATCAGACCCTTTCTAAAAACAAACCCCAGTAACCTTGCCCAGTCTTACTTATGTCGGTTGTTCTTTTGTAATGCCCTCTTTCTCACGTTAACCTCCATTAGTTAGATAGGTTGTGCTGCATTCTAATAAGGTATATGTTGCTATTCTGAATGTCATCAAAATTCTTCTCTTGTACATGATTACTGCAAAGAATTAATTTATTTTGGTATGACTTTTTTGTGATTTTGACATTTCATTTTCTATACTTTCAGTATATTGTGAAAGATTCCATTACTTTTGGTCTAGAGAGAACTCTTTCTACTGGAAATTTTGATCTCAAAAGATTTGGAGTGAATCGAAAAGGAATGGCACAGGTGTTCATTCTCTTGCCAACGTATCTGTTATTCCCTTTCCAAATTCATTATGTATACACATTTTTACTTAGATGAGGAGTTCAGATCAAGTGCAAAATTTCTTTCTTACAGGCTGTAGCTAGACTGTCATATATAGCAACTGTAGGTCATATGACAAAGATAATACCACAATTTGAAAAATCTAGAAAAGTTAGCGGACCTAGAGCTTTACAACCCAGCCAGGTAAAGTGACCTTCTCCTGGCCATTATGTGTTATTAATTATTTCGTCTGCTCATCTAATTTCATATTGAATTTCAATACACCACTTTGTCTGCAGTGGGGGATGCTATGCCCTTGTGATACTCCTGAAGGTGAGGCCTGTGGACTGGTGAAAAATCTGGCACTGATGACTCATGTTACAACAGATGAAGATGAAGGCCCTCTCATTTCTCTGGTACTTCAGAGTTTACTGCCTTCTTGTAATATTCAAACTTTTCAAACTTTTGATGGTAGAATAATATATCTGTATGTAGGAAAATCAGGGGGTTAAGCATATTTGTTGAGTTCGATAGTATTGGTGCTACATATGTGAGTATTGTGCTATATACTCCACGAAAGTTCCTTTTTGGCAGTTCACAGTGATAAGTGATTCTTTAACCTTTAAAGAGTAAAGAGGTGTTTGTATAGAAGTTTGCCAATCTAAATCTTGAGAGTGGGAGTATGAGATGTTTGATGTTGGATTCTTACAATGACCAATAATTGATCAGGATTAATATATACATGAGACTTTTAGGAACTAGCATTATCTAGAATGGATAGCTGGCTGTAGAGTGCTTGCTAGAGTTTCTTTCTTGTCTTGTAGTTATTCTTTATTCTCATTGGAGAAACACTCTCCCGTGGGCTCTAGAATGATTCGTGATGCTTGATCTGGTACTAAGCATTTCTCGTGATTAAGATTGTCTCCTGGAAGAATGGGCAAAATCTGAATAACGTCATATTAGTTGCAATTTTTTGATATGTCAACCCTAGTATGAGTATGGAGCTTATTTGTAAAATTAACTTTATTATGTGGTCAAAGATTAGAAAGTGACTCTGTCCTTGATCAGTATGGCTTGTATAACTACGACATGGTCCAGTTCATTTTTCTGGCTGATTGATGTGATTAGGATCACATTATCACTGATGTCTCCAGGACATTTGTAATAATGCATAAATACATACATGTGTTTGCTGCTAACAGCAATAGCAAGTTACCTAAGTGAATGTGAAACACGACTACTCTTTTTTTTGCTTTAAACTTCTAGTTCTCTAATCTTTTCTCTTGACGGTAATTGGGGAAGCTTCAAACTTGTTTTATTTTTATGTAAATGTGAGTTCTGGAGTATATCTGTAAATGCATTTTTGTTTCTCCAAATCTATGTACATGCATTGTCTTTATTGGATCAATTGTAGGATTTGCTTACAAATAGAAACCTAAGCAATTGGATAAATCTAAATCTGTGGCTACTCTTATTTTGTTGTCGGTTTACTCGATGCAAGTGTTGCTTTGTTGGGGTTGCAAACTATTATTATGGGTATCAATATTTGTGCATTGTTTGTGTGACAGTGCTACACTCTTGGAGTAGAAAGTTTCGAGTATCTTTCTGGTGAAGAAGTTCACATGCCAAACTCCTATCTGATCATATTCAATGGACTCATTATTGGCAAGCACAGGCGGCCACAAGTATGGCTTTATTAATTGTCAAAATCTTGTGTATTATGTCTACTTCCGCATTGTATCCTAGATTTTCTCTTCATTTGTTGTCCAACTATTCTCTTCATTTTTCTTTTACAGAGATTTTCCAATGCAATGAGAACACTACGAAGGGCTGGTAAAATTGGCGAGTTCATAAGCATTTTCGTGAACGAAAAGCAGGTGAGCTCTTATTACGTGTGTATTTGTATCATTTGATATATAAGTCAAGCCACTTCGCTGGTGCGGCTGTCACTATACTTTCTCACTGACCCCTTCATAGATCTCCGTTTTTCTGTGTTGCAATTTGTGGATGATTTTCAGCCACTAATGAAATAAATATTGCTGTCAATTCTGGGAAATGATTTTAAAAGACTACAAGGCACTAGTAGCTTTATATCTTTTGATATTATCTGTATAGAAATTTTATTGAAACATTGCGTAGCTGCTAGTTGTATTTGCAGAGTTTCAGATTATAAGATTTAAATCCTCAATTTCATGCGACTAAATTTTGTTTCATTTCACTTTTTTCTTTTAAGACATGTAGCACCACAATTGAGCGCAATCATTAGATTATATATCCACATAAAATATTGTTTATGGGCTAGTATGAACTTGGATTCTGAAAAAGAAATTCTTTTGCAGCGTTGTGTTTACATTGCTTCAGATGGTGGCCGTGTTTGTCGCCCACTCGTGATCGCTGACAAAGGCGTATCAAGAATTAAGGAGCACCATATGAAGGAGTTGAAGGTTATTTATTGCCATACATTTTCATTATTTCTTATTTTTACTTCCGTCACCCTGCTAAAAAAAAATGTTTGCTTGAAGGATGGAGTCCGGACCTTTGACAGTTTCCTAAAAGACGGTTTGATCGAATATCTTGATGTCAATGAGGAGAACAATGCTTTGGTTTGCTTCTCTCATATTCTTTATTTTATTTTTAATTTTTTAATTTTTTTGTATACTCGCTCACAATAGATATCATTGTTAGATTGCTTTATATGAAGACAATGCGAAAGAAAAAACAACCCATATCGAAATAGAGCCTTTTACAATACTGGGCGTGTGCGCTGGGTTGATCCCCTATCCTCATCATAACCAGTCACCGAGAAATACGTACCAGGTATGTATGCAATACATTCTTTTTTCAGGTGCCGTTATGTTACAAGTATAAAAGTCCTACCAATATCAATCTTATCATCATTGTAGTGTGCTATGGGAAAGCAAGCTATGGGCAACATTGCATATAATCAGGTACCATTTCATCATATGTTTCACGTTTGTCACAGATTTAGTGAACTATGATCTTTCAAATATTTGGACTCAAGCAATATTGCACATGTTTTGACTTGTACACTATTTATTAAAGACTTCATCGGTATATGTTAGAGGGCTGGATATGACATACCTTAGATAATTGTCGACCATAAAAAAAGTATAAATTATTATGCTTCCTGCTGACATCCAATTTGAAGCCATTTGACATGTGGCTTGTGGGAACTAAGGTAAGTCCAATGCAACTCAATATGGGACTTAATAAATTACTAAGGCATAAATATTATATAACTGTTACCTGGATCCTTTGGCTTTATTTCTCATAAGTAAATTATCTTACCACTTCGATGTTGCTATGCATTAGTGTCCTATATTATGCGGCTCCTAATCGTTTCCGGTTCTTTAGTGCAGGAAATAATATTGTTATGATCTGATTTAAAATGACACTTTAAAGATATTTGATTGATTATGTTTAGGTCTTTGGGAAGGCAATCTGCACAACATGGTGTTTGAGAACTTTAGAAATCATTATACAAACCCTCGTTATGCTTAAGAGCTCCTGTCATCAACCTTTCATTATGTTCCTCCTAATGATGTGCTGTTTCAACAGAACATACATTTTGTTATTACATAATATGCATATTTACAAGTTAAAACACTAAGATGCGTTTTGAGATGCAAAGTAAATAAAGTTTTTTGAATTCCCAAATGGGAAAAGAATCTCAAAAGGTACACAAACATAGCCTCAACATTTTGGTAATACCTGAACGCTATCCTCCACCTCTGGAATTCTCATTCTTACTGAGTACATCTCTTTGTGATTATGTTATCCTGTACTTTGATATTGCAGGTTATTTTCCTTTATTCATCCTTTCTTATATGTATCATTTTTCAGTATTGCAGGACGGACACGTTAATGTGTCTCTTAGTTTATCCACAGCGACCATTACTAACAACACGGACAATCGAGCTGGTTAGTGGATCCTAATTACACTTTTTAATTTGTAATTACTGATTATAAGAACACATTATTATTATTAGTATATTTAATGTAATTATTATTATTATTATCGTCATTCTTATTATTGTTGTCAGGTGAGCTTTGATAAACTGGGAGCTGGGCAGAATGCAACTGTTGCGGTGATGAGTTATAGTGGATATGACATAGAGGACGCAATAGTAATGAATAAATCATCCTTGGATCGTGGTTTTGGTCGTTGCATTGTTATGAAAAGGTACATGAATATTTCCTTAGCTAGCTTTACCAATTATCTTTGTAATTTCCTCTGGATTTTGGAAGCATTTCGCGTGTTTCCTGTGGTAGAAATTGTATAACGTCTGCATTAAATGTTTTCCTATGAGCAGAATGGTTTCAGTTTGCCTGAAGTATGAAAATAGCACATCTGATCGTATTATTAAACCACAAAGAGAAGGACAGGATTGTGAAAAGATGCAGGTATTGTGCAAAAATGATTTTTACTGTCCATTTGAGTGTGATCGTAAATATATGAGAGGGAAAATAAAAACATTGGTGAAAGATGTGTATTGTATGTATTTTATTCGCATTTGTGAAAAAGGAGAATGCATATGCTTGATATGAAGGAGGAGGTGATTAAGCTTGATAGTTAATATTTTTCGCAATGAGCTAGGATAGTTAGTTGTACATCTCAAACCTTAATTGTATGCATAATTTACTTTCCAATTTAATATCTGATGCATTAATTTTCACTCATTATTTTAGTTGTCAACTGAATTTTGTTACTCAATCTGTCTGCTAGCCTGCCACTTGAATATTATGCATTATGCAGATATTAGATGATGATGGACTAGCAGCTCCTGGACAAACTATTCGAGCCGATGACATCTATATCAATAAGCAGTCCCCTATAGTCACTAGGGTGCCAGTGAAATCCCCCATGGCCCTTCCAGATAGGTTGCTTGTTTGCTTTCAGAGAGTATTTTTAAGGTTTCTTTACTTACAACTAATCAGCTTAATTACTGTGCATGTTGGTAAATCCAGCTCATACAGGTCAAGTAGAGAGCATTATAAAGGTTCTGTAGGAGAGTCAGCTGTCATAGATAGAGTGGCACTCTTCTCTGACAGGGATAACAACATGAAAATCAAATTCATGACTCGTCAAACTCGTAGGCCAGAGGTACGGTGAACTGATTGATCTTGAAACTTTTAATTTCCTATTTGGTGTCTCGTTCATCTTTCAATGAGTAGAAAATATTTCCCTTCTAGGTTGGGGACAAATTTAGTAGCCGTCACGGGCAAAAAGGAGTTTGTGGCACAATTGTTCAACAGGAAGATTTCCCATTTTCCGAGCGTGGAATATGTCCTGATTTGATCATGAATCCTCATGGATTTCCTAGGTAATTAAATTTAATTTATTTACGAATGACATTTCAAAAAGCACAAGTAACATTGCTAATAAATGTTTTTATATCTTCAGCCGTATGACAGTTGGGAAAATGATAGAACTTCTTGGTAGCAAAGCTGGAGTTTCTTGTGGTAGGTTTCATTATGGAAGTGCATTTGGTGAGCCCAGCGGGCATGCAGATAAAGTCGAGACTATAAGTGAAACCCTAGTGAAGCACGGTTTTAGCTACAATGGCAAAGACTTCCTCTATTCAGGTCTTTTTCTTACCTTTTTTCTATTCAGCTTTTAAAGAAATCGAACGAACAAGGAAATAACTTATTTTAAACAAATTTGTCATGAACATGCATGACTAAATTAGGACTCGATTTCTGAAATATGGCTCACAAATTTACTACTTATTCCTTGCTTGATTGTTTTTTAAGTTTCTAAATATTCAATTTGTAATATATATATGCACTCCAGGCATCACCGGGGAGCCTCTGCAAGCATATATTTTCATGGGTCCAATTTATTACCAAAAGTTGAAACACATGGTAAGCAAAAGCACTTGTCTAGTTTTACATGCCAACATCTTTGGCGTTTAAGGTTTGTAATAGCTTGCATGAGTTTTTGCCATATTTTTATTCCTATCCTCTGAAATATGTACTATTCTTTATTGCAACCAAATTTACAATAATGTTGGTATCATCAAAGTTGTAGTTCTATTTACTTTTGCATGTCTAGTGATAAAAGGTCTACCTTTGGATCTTAGGTGTTAGATAAAATGCATGCTCGAGGTCATGGACCTAAAGTTATGATGACTAGGCAGCCTACAGAAGGAAGAAGCAACAATGGAGGTTTGAACATGGATCGATACATAATTTTAGTTCCTTCATTTCCGAGATGGTATTATCTAAATTGTAGAATTGAACAGGTCTACGGGTGGGAGAAATGGAACGTGATTGCTTAATTGCATATGGTACCAGTATGTTATTATACGAGCGCTTGATGATTTCTAGTGACGAGTTTGTGGTTCAGGTAAGGTTTATTATGTGATAACAACACCTATATTGAGGTTGCTATTCTTGTCATTGACGATCTTTACTCGAGAGCTATGGAGGCTCTTAAAAAGAATTTTGTTACTATATTAGTCGTAACTGGTTACAGATTTGTCAAATTTAATCTGCAATTTGTTTTAGCCTGTTCGGTTATTTTAGATTACGAATCACAAGACTCTGGTACTTAAACCTGTAATCGGTTGCAGGTCTGCCGGAAGTGTGGTCTCTTGGGGTATTACAACTTTAAGCTGAAGACAGGCATTTGTTCTACATGTAAGAATGGAGATAATATATCTACTATGAAATTGCCCTACGCGTGCAAGCTTTTAATCCAGGTAATGGTTATTTCTTTATTTATTTTTCCGGGGTAGTCTTGTTGTTTGTTGAATGTGCTTACTTTCATTAACATTACGTGTTTAACTGTAAATCAAATACATTAGTAAGTTAATGTAAATCTGGATTATTTGGCTTAGACCGAATATTTTCTAATGATTAGATCAAAAACTTCTCCTGGGGTTGAATAAGTTGTGTCCTTGATCGCATATTGATGTTACATTTGGCTCACCATTCGGTTTTCAGTTAATTAATAATGTTTTATTACTAGTTCCGATTGAGATCTCAATCGTAAAAAGGTTTTGTTTGTTGAAATGAGAATTGAGTTTAACCCTTTTCTCGTTTGATATTCCGCAGGAGCTCCAGTCAATGAACATCGTTCCTCGTTTAAAATTAACTGAGGCATAATGCTCCGTTCTTAGTCATGGTTAGGGGCATCCTTGTAAAATGTTGAAGTGCGAGGGTCTCTTTTCGGAGGTGGAAGGGCAGCTTATTATTATTATTATTATTATTATTTAATTTATTTATTTTTGTTTCTTTTTTTATTTTTCCTTTTCGGAATGATAGATAAATTATTATTGTTATGATGAATTTTGAAATAATGATTGATTGGTATTATGGTATATATGTTGACTAGTTTTTTTTTTTTTTTTTTTGTTTTTTGTTAATATAGTTTTTTTTGGAATATTGAAATTTGTGGTGTCGTTGACACAACGCTTTGTAACATATATAAACATTTTTTGGAATGATGGATAAATTATTGTGGTAATTGAATTTTTAAATGATAATTTATAGGTTGTATATGTAGACCTATTTTTTTTCTAAATTTTTACTTTACCTGTTTTTTTTTTTTTTTTTTTGGAATATTGAATTTTGTGATGTAATAGCAAATTGTACAGAGTAGCATATTTTTCGAAGTTTGGCGTCTGTTTGATACTCTAATTAATAAGCACGTGACCCCAGTTTACGTGTTTTCATTAGTTTGCACTTAAGCCCTTGTGGTATTATTATTTATTAATATAGGTCCCCCTTTAGTTTATAAAAGATAGGGTCTAGGGGTGGTAAACGAGCCGAGCTGACTCGTGAGCTCGATGATCCAGCTCGAAAAAAGCTTGAACTCGGACTCGAGTTTCTCGAGCTCGAGCCAGTTTTTAGTTGTTCGTGAGCTCACGAGCCGGTTTACGAGCCTTATTTATTATTTTTATTTTTATGACCCCTAATACTTTCTGCTTCCTCTCATTGTCTTCTATTTTACGACTGCATTTTTTTTTCAAATCCCTAAATCATGGCGAATCGTACCACTCACGAAAATGAAAGATGTTACCAATCCTTCTTACATCCATTCGATGGACAATTTTGCTTAGAGTTAAAAGAATAAGTTTGGCTTCGTTGATGGTTCAATTACAAACCACCAATTCATGATCCTATTATGCACAGCGCTTGGATTCTCTACAATATTATGATTACGTCTTGGATTCTGAATGCGTTTGTAAAATAAATTCAAGCGACCGTGATGTATTCCAAGTTTGCTCGTGAAATTTGGACATATTTGAATGTAGGTTTTCTCAAACAAATGGCCCTCGCATTTATCAACTCCGCTGAGGATTAACAAATCGTAGACAGGATCAACTCTTTGTAAATGTTTATTTCACAAGGATGAAAACGACTTGGAATGAACTTTCCAATTATCGTCCTAATGGTACTTGTAGTTTATCGGTTGATCATTATAATCTTGAGCAAGTTATGACATTCCTTACGGGACTGAATGAATCGTTTTCAAAACGAGAGGTCGTCAAATCCCTTCTTATGGATCGTTTTCGCTGCTTCCCAAGATTCATCACACTGTCTCACGTGTGACATATAATATCTATATTAATGCTTTTAAGTAATCCTTTTGTCATGCATCCAACGCAGTTTGAATGTTGCTAGAACTATCTTCTTCCAATCAACAATGCCTATCAAATTTGAAAGTGACTGCGTTCTCACAACAGTTTTCTTGATAAACAGAACACCTGCACACAATCTTCACTTCCTTTTTCTTTAGGGTAAATTACACAAACACCCCTGATGTATGCTAAAATAACTTTAAGGTTCATGCGGTATCGGTAATTACAATCACCCCCTGAAACATTGTTAGAAACTCTAACGGGATAATGCATTGGATACGATATTTCGATAGAGTTCTGAAGGAGTATTAGTTTCAGTAAGTGATTGTGAGTTAAGTTGGAATTAAGTGCTCATTTCTAAAATTTGGGGGTGTTTGCGAATTAGCTGGAAAAAATCAACTAAATAGAAAAGACAGGTGCATGGGGTGCTTTTAAAAGTATAACTTAAATCAGGCTTATTTTAAGAAAAGCAAAAACAAAAGCTTGTTTTGCAACTTAAAAAAAAATTATGTGCACAAAAAAACTCATAATCTATTTTTGAAAGCTTTTACATACACCACCTTAGAGACTTAGCAATCCCTTTATTGTTCATTAATTATTTTGTCCATTGCTAAGAACTTTCTTTGGCATAGTTGCTTTTCCTTGTTTATTAGTTAGGTGGTGTTTGCAAAAACTTATTTAAAAGTAGAAGTTATGGACTGTGAATTAAGTTAGGTAAGTGTTTATTTCTAAAACTTGGGGGTGTTTGCAAATTTACTGGAAAATGAACTTAAATAGTAAAAGTAGGGTCATCAGTGCTTAACAAATTATAGCTCAAAGCTGCTTATTTTAAGAGAAGCAAAAACAAAAGTTCATTTTGCAAACACTTAAAAATAGATTATGAACAAAAAAAGCTCATAATCTATTTGTAAAAGCTTTTGCAAACACCACCTTAGTTGCAAGTTAAATTATATACCCTTGTTGTTTATTACTCCATATGTTCCATAATAACTGTCTCTTTTTAAAAATATTTTGTTCCATATTATCTGTCACTTTAGATTTTCAATACTGTATTAAATACTTAATTTCCAGTTTATACCCTTATTAACTCTTTCTAATACTCTTTTTTTAAGTAATTTCGCTCTCTTAGTAATTACAAGAGAAGATCACTTTATTTTAAAAACACAAATTTTTTACAAAATCAAAACACATTTAATAAAATGCTTAATCCTTGTCCAAAGCTAAAAATGACTAATGGGAACATATGAAGTATTAGCTAGACTCTAAACCCTATAGTTAAGTTTCACTAGATATCAACCCAACTACTTACTCTGTTTTTTTTTTTTCTTAAATTTGGAAAACTCTAAAAGGTCATGTTCCCAAAACGCGCTCTTAAATTTTATTTGACATAAGTCCACAAAAAAATGTTAATAATAGTACACATTCATAAATCCGTCAGATCACATTGGATTGGGTCGGACAGGGCCTGTCCACCACCGGAGCTTCCTCTTTCTGAGCTTCGTCATCGCCACTCTTGCACCGGGGCTCCACTACCACCTCCGCCGTCGCAAAACAACCAAATTATATAATAAATATGACAGTATTTGTGACTATGTTAGTTATATATATATTTTTTTCAATTTGCAAACTATTTAAACTATTTGTTTATTTTAGATTAAAGTATTATATTTTATTTTTGGTTGAAGTATTATATCTTTTTGGTATTTTTAATTATTTTGTTCAAAAATAAAAAAGGAATAAAATCCCACTTATAAAAATTGTTTCTATCTTGTAGGCTTATATCATATTTTATAGGGTTTTTACACCCACACCCCTGAGGTATGCTTAAATAATTTTAAGGTCCCTATAGTATCGATAATTACACTCACCCCCTGAAACGTAGTTAGAAACTCCAACATGATAATGCATTGGATACATTATTCCGATAGGGTTCTAATGAACTATTACTTTTAACTAGTGGTGGAGATAACATAGAGTTATGAAGAGTTATGGGGTGACATGGCTCCCCCAATATGTCTTAAATCACCCATAACTCTATGTTGTCTCCACCACTTCCTGAAACCAATAGACCGTTAGAACTCTATCGTAATAACATATCCAATGCATTATCCCATTAGAGTTTATAACTACGTTTCAAGGGGGTGAGTGTAATTATCGATACCACATGGACCTTATAATTATTTAAGTATACCTCAGGGGTGTTGGTGTAGTTTACCCTATTTTATATTATATTACAGATATATATACTTGAGCTAGTATTAGAGATATATTACTAAATGTATGTGTTTAGTTGTAATTAAGATGTTTCCCTAATGGTACTTAGCTACTTAATCCAATAATTTAGGTCTAGGGTTCAAATCCGCTCCCCATCAATTTTTTTATATATATATGTATTGTAATATACATACAGACTACGTACAGAGAGGTTCTGGGTTTAAGCGTACAGCTCTCTCTCTCTCTCTCTCTCTCTCTCTACCCTCTGAAATCGAAAATTATGATGAGAGAAGACGACGATCTTGCTCTGCTACAGGAAAATGGGTACGCGCTTAATTAATGTTTACCACACACGCCCGCGCGCCAACACACACACATATGTATATGTATAATTTTGATAAACGTTGATCATTTGGTCAGTTGAATTATTATATGTTTCTGGTTGAATGAATACAGTATGAATCCCGTCGACAAGTTCCAATTAATCCCCGAATTTCTCAAGGTATAATTTCCTGGGTCTTCACTTCACTTTCCTTTTTTTTTTTTTTTTTCATTTGTTTGTTATTTATTATTGATCTGTTTCTTCTAATTTCTGTTTTTAGTAGTATATTATAAATAATTGAAATGACTTCATGAAAAATGAATGAATGGTCAGCTTGAATTGTTCATGAAAGTTTACTGCAGCAGTGATTATATTCCGATTTAATCGATTATCGCTCGAGCTCGAGTATCGTCAAATTCCTTTTTGCTTAAAATGTTGAACGGAAACCGCCCGATAACTACAACTTTTGATTTTAATTTTTTTTTCCGAGTTGGTATTTAACGGCTAGTTAACGTTCGAATATAGGTGCGAGGTCTCGTGAAACAACATTTGAACTCTTTTAATTACTTTGTGAGGACGAAGATCAAAAAAATTGTTCAGGCCAATGATCTCATCGCATCTACTAAGGACCCAAGTATTTATTTGAGGTAATAATTTTTTTATTTTTATTTTTTCGTGTGATTTCGTTTTCGTTTGCATTGAACGATCCGAGTATTTCTTCTAACTAATTATTATTTTTTTTTTCATGTATTTGTTTGCAGATACAAAGATGTACGTATAGGTGAACCAACATTGGTATTAGATGGTGTTTCCGAACAGCTTACTCCCCAAAAGTGCCGGATCCTCGACACAACGTGAGTGTCAGTTCTTCTTTTATGTGAATATTTAGTTTCGTTTTTTACTTTAGAAAACTGATCGTTTCTATTCTGCTTCTGACCTCTAAACGGTGGCTGCTTATTTCAGTTATAATGCTCCGATATACGTGAACATAGAATACGTTACCGTAAAAAATAGATTGAAGAAAACCGAAACAAAGGTGATACCAATTGATTTTTGAATTTTTTTTTTAATTTATTCACGAACGATTTTAATTGGATAAATTTATGCATGCACTTATTCTCCGAGTTATAATTTTCAGAAAGATGTCATTATTGGAAGAATGCCTATCATGTTAAGAAGTTGCTGTTGCATTTTGTTCGGAAAGGATGAAGAAGAACTTGCCAAATACGGTATGTATACCGTTTATTCATTTATTTCATATTTCCCCTGTTTTCGGAAAGTGATTTATTTATCCACTTAGGTGAATGTCCGCTTGATCCTGGAGGATATTTTGTCGTTAGAGGAAACGAGAAGGTGACGCTTTCTTTATCACATTATATTTCTTTTTCTCTTCATCATTAGTAGTGCGAATGTGAAATTTGGCTTTTAATTTTCATTAATCTTATACATATTTGATGTGAAGGGAAAAATTGTAAAGCCGAGTAAGAAATAAGTTTAGTGTGGTATGGATGAACTAGTTGCATATATAAGAGGATTATTGACTACTTATATGGAACCGACGTTAGAATCATTTTATGAACTCGATTATGAGTATGAATCCACATAAATTAATTCGTAATCCAATTCGATGATTGAATTAATTCAATAATATTGAATTTGTAATTTTTTTTCGTGTTTGTTGATTTCACAAACACAAAATTTGTGTTACAATTTTCTTTGCTGAATCATTCCATTGTCCGGTAGTTGTCCTTTTTGGTCTCTGCCTGTACGTAATTCCCGAGAAGTCATTGAGAACATAATTGTTCTTGTTTGTGGTCAAATCGACATTTGGCATAAATGTACTAAGTTTCATCTCGTAGGTTCCTAGGTCTTTTATTTATTTATTTATTATTATCAACATGGTGCTCATTCTCCATGTCTTCGTCCAGGTAGTTTTGATTCAAGAACAACTTTCGAAGAACCGAATAATCATTGATACTGACACGAAAGGCTGGTGAGTAGCTTTCCTTCACTTCTTTCAAGTAATATCTATTTGTTACTTACTAATAGTCATTAGAGTATTTGAAGTGAACATCATTGAAGTATCGTTACGAAGGCTCTGAATGTTCAATCTGATTACACGAGCAAGAAAATTTTATTTCCATGAATCAAACGGAGAGTAAGACTTCATACTATAAATATGAGTTCTCTCTTTATACTATCAGTATAATCTCTCTCTGTTTTCCTTACTCGCAGTGTGCAAGCATCTGTTGCAAGCATTACAGAGAAAATAAAGAGCAGAACAGTTATACGAATCGAGAGAGAGAAAATATACGTGGACCTGAATAAAAAAGCAAGAAAGGTTGAAATTCTGTAAATGGCTATCTGTAACTCTGTATATTATGGCGCGTTTTATTTTCTGATATAATTATCTTCTAGGTTCCGATAATGATAGTCTTTAAAGCAATGGGTATGGAAAGTGATCAAGAGGTTTTCCAGATGATGGGGAGAGACCCTCGGTATAGTGAACTGCTATTGCCATCAATTGAGGTACAACTCGTGCGTAGGTTCGATTTCAATAATTATTAATTTTCCCGTCCAAAGAACGTACAAGCCTTGAAGCATACGTGATGCGGATTTATCTTCATTACAGGATTGTTTAAAGGTAGGTGTACACAATCAACGTCAGGCACTGGATTTCCTGAAGAAGAAGGTCTTCTTCTTCTTCTTTCCTATAGAAAACGGGGATACACATTCGGAATTAAGTAGTGTATGAAACTGTTAAGCGCTCGACTGAAGTTTATGTAAATAATGTCCGTGCAACCTAATTAGCTGTAACAGATGTAATTTGGGAAGTTATTTGGATGCAACAAGCACTTTGCTTTCATTGTGTCTGTGGACTCGAGATATATATAGATATGTTTACATACAAATGTTAATATATAATACTTATTTTTATTGCATATCTGAGGTTCGTATTCCCTATATGAATTTTATAGAATACTCCTTTGAGTCTTAATCTAACTCCGAAATGATTTTCTTTTGGTTAATGTTCTTTATTTTGCTCATTTTCTTATTTGCCATCTTTGTACAGGATGAGCATGCTCTTAGCATCCTTCGAGACACATTTCTTGCCAATATTCCTGTACGTTCAGTTTCAACTAGTGTAGTTTCTATGGAACTTAATACTATTATTTTTTATTATTTAACACCCAAACCCGAAAAAAATCGTGTTACAGGTCGATCAAGAAAATTTCCGTCCAAAATGCATTTACGTCGCTGTAATGATGAGGCGCATGATGGATGCAATCTTAAACAAGGATGCAATGGATGACAAGGTACACGTACTTGCTCACCCTTTGTCTTTTCTGAGTTAGTTAATCAGCCTATAATTGCAGCCTTAATTTGTTTACTTTTTTGTAGGATTACATGGGGAACAAAAGATTGGAACTGTCTGGTCAAATGCTATCGTTTCTTTTTGAGGTACGTTAGCTCTCTCTCTCTCTCTCTCTCTCTCTCTCTCTCTCTCTCTCTCTCTCTCTCTGTGTTGTTCAACATTCCATTTTTTTGTTCTTTGTATTGTAGGATTTGTTCAAGTCAATGAACGAGCAGGCCTGTCTAGAAATAGATAAAAAAATAGAAAAGGGAAATCGTAACAGACAATTTGACATTTCTCAGGTTTGTTCGTATAGTAAAATAAATGTTGCTTAGATCTGCATGTCATCAAAATTCTTCTCTTGTACATGATTACTATATACGACTAATTGTTTTTGGCCATTTTGACATACTTTCAGACTATTGTGCAAAATAGGATTACTCTTGGTCTAGAGAATGCTCTTTCGACTGGAAATTTTGTTGCCACAAGATTTGGACTGAATCGAAAAGGAATGGCGCAGGTGTGCAAAATATCTTTCTTACATACAAATGTTTTACTTAGATGAAGAGTTCAGATTTAAGTGCGAGATATCTTTCTTACAGGCCGTAATTAGGATGTCATATATATCAACCGTAAGTCACATGACAAGGATATTGCCACAATTTGAAAAATCTAGAAAAGTAAGCGGACCTAGAGCTTTACAACCCAGCCAGGTAAAAGCGACATTCTCCGGGCCGTTGTTCATATTATTTATAAATAATATAAAAAATACTATTTATATGCCCCGCTTTTCGTTTGCAGTGGGGGATGCTGTGCCCCTGTGATACTCCTGAAGGTGATTCGTGTGGACTGGTTAAAAATCTGGCACTGATGACTCATGTTACAACGGATGAAGATGAAGGCCCTCTCATTTCTTTGGTAAAACATTTAATATTTATATCTCCAAACGGTTATTTAATATTTAAATATTAATATTTGTGCATTGTTTGCCTGACAGTGCTACACTCTTGGAGTAGAAAGTTTCGAGTATCTTTCTGGTGAAGAAGTTCACATGCCAAACTCCTATCTGATCATATTCAATGGACTCATTATTGGCAAGCACAGGCGGCCACAAGTATGGCTTTATTAATTGTCAAAATCTTGTGTATTATATCTACTTCCGCATTGTATCCTAGATTTTCTCTTCATTTGTTGTCCAACTATTCTCTTCATTTTTCTTTTACAGAGATTTTCCAATGCAATGAGAACACTACGAAGGGCTGGTAAAATTGGCGAGTTCATAAGCATTTTCGTGAACGAAAAGCAGGTGAGTGAGCTCTTATTACGTGTGTTTTTGTATCATTTTATATATAAGTCAAGCCACCTCGCTGGTGCGGCTGTCACCATACTTTCTCACTGACCCCTTCATAGATCTCCGTTTTTCTGTGTTGCAATTTGTGGATGATTTTCAGCCACTAACGAAATAAATATTGCTGTCAATTCTGGGAAATGATTTTAAAAGACTACAAGGCACTAGATCATTAGATTATATATCCACATAAAATATTGTTTATGGGCTAATATGATCTTGGATTCTGAAAAAGAAATTCTTTTGCAGCATTGTGTTTACATTGCTTCAGATGGTGGCCGTGTTTGTCGTCCACTCGTGATCGCTGACAAAGGCGTATCAAGAATTAAGGAGCACCATATGAAGGAGTTGAAGGTTATTTCTTGCCATACATTTTCATTATTTCTTATTTTTACTTCCGTCACCCTGCTAAAAAAAAACTGTTTGCTTGAAGGATGGAGTCCGGACCTTTGACAGTTTCTTAAAAGACGGTTTGGTAGAATATCTTGATGTCAATGAGGAGAACAATGCATTGGTTTGCTTCTCTCATATTCTTTATTTATTTATTTATTTATTTATTTATTATTTTTTTTTTGGTATACTCGCTCACAATAGATATCATTGTTAGATTGCTTTATATGAAGACAATACGAAAGAAAAAACAACCCATATCGAAATAGAGCCTTTTACAATACTGGGCGTGTGCGCTGGGTTGATTCCTTATCCTCATCATAACCAGTCACCGAGAAATACGTATCAGGTATGTATGCAATACTTTCTTTTTTCAGGTGCCGTTATGTTACAAGTATACAAGTCTTACTAACTAATATTATTTTCATCATTTGTAGTGTGCTATGGGAAAGCAAGCTATGGGCCACATTGCATATAATCAGGTACCGTTTCATATTTTTCACTCGTGTCACAGATTTAGTGAACTAAGATCTTCCATATATTTGAAACTAGTGAGAGAAGAACTACAATTTCTTTTTTTTCGTCATAGCAGTAAAATTATGTCTAAAAGTTTCGGAAGATTTATAGTTTAGTTTTGGGAGTAAAATTGAGATGATTTTTTAGGTGTAAAATAAATAAAATTTTTTGAAAGATTTTTTCAAAAGGTAAACAAACATAACAATTTGGGAAGACTTCAATGCCATCCTCTATCTCTCTGCTCGAGTTACCCGATTCTGTACGGTGATTTTACCCTTCTTACATAATATAGTTGTGTTTTCAGTATTGTAGGACGGACACGTTATTGTGTCTCTTAGTTTATCCACAGCGACCTTTACTAACCACACGGACAATCGAGCTGGTTAGTGGATCCTAATCCTTGTTTTTTTTTTTGTAATTACTGATTACAAGCACACATTTCATCTATATTTTTATGATTATTATTATTATTACTGTTATAATCATTATTTATTATTATTACGGTTAGGTGGGCTTTGATAAACTGGGAGCTGGGCAGAATGCAACTGTTGCGGTGATGAGTTATAGTGGATATGACATAGAGGACGCAATAGTAATGAATAAATCTTCCTTGGATCGTGGTTTTGGTCGTTGCATTGTTATGAAAAGGTGCATGCAATAATTTTTTTTTTTTTTTTAAATTTCCTCTCGAGTTTGGAAGTATATAACGTCCGTATCAAATGTTTCCAATTAACAGAATGGTTTCAGTTTGCCAGAAGTATGAAAATGGCACATCTGATCGTATTCTTAAACCACAAAGAGAAGAAAAAGATGCTGACAAGATGCAGGTATTACGCGGAAATGATGCTTATTCTGCATTTGGGGTGTGATATGCAAATATATGCATTGGAGATTCGATTGGAAAATAAAAACATTGAAACCTTAATTTTATGCATAATATATTTACTTTTCAATTTAATAGTAGAACCGCAATAAATTAATACACCACGTTTAAATAATTTTTTTTCTTCTTCCAGTCCCGACTCGAGGGCAACATGCTAAATTAATATTTCGCTGAATTAATGTTTTGTTAAATTAATAGAATTTGGCTGGTCCCAATTGTATTAATTTATAGAGGTTTATCTGATCGTGGAATTAATATAAGTGTCTATTATGCAGAGTTTAGATGATGATGGACTAGCAGCTCCCGGGCTAACTATTCGAGCCAATGATATTTATATCAATAAATATTCCCCCACAGTCACTAGGGTGCCAGTGAAATTCCCCATGGCCCTGCCAGATAGGTTTGCTCGTTTGCTTTCAGACAGTATATATTTTTTAAGGTTTTCTATTTTTATTTTTTGTTATTACAACAACTAGTTAGCTTACTGTGCATGTTTGGTAAATTCAGCTCATACATGCCAAGTAGAGAGTCTCATAAAGCTTCTGTAGGAGAGACAGCTGTCATAGATAGAGTTGTACTCTTCTCTGACAGGGATAACAACATGAAAATCAAATTCATGACTCGTCAAACTCGTCGGCCAGAGGTATAACGAACTGATTTTGCCTCTTTGTTTTTTATTCTTTTTTATAAAAAAAAAAATCGGCCTTATAATAAATATTTGCCTCCTAGGTTGGTGACAAATTTAGTAGCCGTCACGGGCAAAAAGGGGTTTGCGGCACAATTGTTCAAGAGGAAGATTTACCGTTTTCCGAGCGTGGAATATGTCCTGATTTAATCATGAATCCTCATGGATTTCCTAGGTAATTTAATTTAATTTATTTATGAACGACACTTCAAAAGGCGTAACTAACATTGCTCATAAAAAAATGTTTTTATATATCTTCAGCCGTATGACAGTTGGGAAAATGATAGAACTTCTTGGTAGCAAAGCTGGAGTTTCTTGTGGTAGGTTTCATTATGGAAATGCATTTGGTGAGCCCAGTGGTCATGCAGATAAAGTCGAGACTATAAGTGAAACCCTAGTGAAGCACGGTTTTAGCTACAACGGCAAAGACTTCCTCTATTCAGGTCTTTTTAATTTCTTACCCTTTTCTATTCTGCTTTTAAAGAAATCGAAAGAACAAGAAAATAACTTATTTTGCTTGATTTTTTTTTAATGTTTCTAAATATTCAATTTGTAATATATATATGTACTCCAGGCATCACCGGTGAGCCTCTGCAAGCTTATATTTTCATGGGTCCAGTTTATTACCAACGGTTGAAACACATGGTAAAATTCCCTTTTTTTTTTAATCGAGTCGAATATTAGCTTTTGCATATCTACGTACTTACGATCGGTCTACCTTTCTTTGGATCTTAGGTGATAGATAAAATGCATGCTCGAGGTCATGGACCCAAAACTATGATGACTAGGCAGCCTACAGAAGGGAAGAGCAACAATGGAGGTTTGAACATCGATCGATACATAATATATATATATATATATATATATATATATATATATATATATATATATATATATATATTATCTGAATGGAAAAATTGAACAGGTCTTCGGATGGGAGAAATGGAACGAGATTCCTTAATTGCATATGGAGCCAGTATGTTAGCATACGAGCGCTTAATGCTTTCTAGTGATCCGTTTGTGGTTCAGGTGAGGTTTATGAAATAGATTTTGTTATTAACTGGTTACGGATTTCTCATATTTTGTTTAATATATTGTTTGCTTGCAGGTCTGTCGAAAGTGTGGTCTCCTGGGGTATTACAACTTTAAGTTGAAGACTGCGATTTGTTCGATGTGCAAAAACGGGGATAATATAGCTACTATGAATTTGCCCTACGCATGCAAGCTTTTATTCCAGGTAACGGCTAAATCGAATACATTAGTTTATGTAAATCTTGATTATTTAAATTTAACTGATCATTTATCAGCTCGGTGATAAATCAACATGTATACTTAGCAATGCGAATGCACAACCCAAATTAAGTTTTAAATTCTACAAGCCCACTGAAGTTTCTAGTAAGTCGATAATTTTATTAGATGCAAAATATATTTCTGTCGTATAAATACAAGTCATCGATTTTAGTACGCAAAATATTGGTGACTGTATCTTTAGTTGCATAATTTTTTATCAACATTGATTAACTTCCTTAGCTTTTATCTAGAAATAGAAGGATGATTGTTTGTTGAAAAGAGAATCGAGTTTTCTTCTCAAAAAAATAAATAAAAGAGAATCGATTTTAACCATTTTTCTTTTTTTCTCGTTTGATATTTCTTCAGGAGCTCCAGTCAATGAACATCGTTCCTCGTTTAAAATTAACGGAGGCATAATGCTCCGTCCTTTGTCCATGGTTCGGTACATCATTGTAAAGTGTGAAGGTCTTTTTTTGGGTGTATTGGAATTTGGAAGGGTAATTTCCCCCTGGTATAGAATGAAGGGCAAATTACGAGAAACCCCTGGTATAAGGTCTAATTGCGAAATGATAATTTTGTGGTGTCATTCTAAGAAATATTATTTAGTACAAAATTGTACACAGCAACATATTTTAGAACTTGGCACCATCCAATATTTGAAATGATCAATCTATTTGAGGTTTATGTTCTTTAAATGACAAAGTAGTGTAGATGCACATTAAAAAAAAGCTCGTTCCCTTACTCCATTTTATATTAAAGTTCTATATTGATCATGTATATGAGATTTATGCTTTATGTTAATGAAAATTTAGTATCTTCTCGAATAATTGAAAGACTTTTGTTTAATTTTATGCGGGAAAACTCTAATAACATAATCTTGAAACTAAATTCATCTTAAGAACATAATCAAATAATTGAGATTATCGATATACCGTTCGCCATGGATTCCGATAGAGACGATGATGATGAACGAGAACAATAGCAATCTACAAGCCAAACCTCCTCCGAATCTCTTTGTGAGAACCTTTCTCTATCTCTCCATTCTCCAATATCACAACTCACAAAGTTCTTTTATAGAGAGAAGAGGGTCACTTACGAATCAACTACCATAAATCAGCCCTAATTCCATAATTGAATTACCCACAACTAATTAATCAAATTCAAAAGGTTAGTGGACCATTAAAATAAAAAAAAAACGTTATATTTTAACGTAAAACTAATAATATATATATATATATATATATATATATATATATATATATATATATATATATATATATATATATATATATATATATATATATGAGCTAAATACAGTTTGCACCCTTAAAGTATAGGGTTGGTAACACTTACCCCCTTAAAGTTACAAATGTAACATTTACCCCCCTCATTAATGAATTTAATGGTAAAACTTTGACTTTGAATGATGTGGCATTTTTTTCTTCCCAAATTGTCCTTCTAGCTATTATATTGATGTATATATAATAATATATTTTCAATAATATTTTTTTTGAATCAATATTTTCAATAATATTTCAAAAAACTAAATTTTATAAATATAATAATTATTAAAAAAAATATTTTGATTTATGTTTAACCCCACATTTTAATTACTATAGACCCTAACATAAATAAAAATCTCAATTATTTAAAAAATATATAAAATACGTTAAACATTTGCAAGAAAAAAAAATATTTTCAAGACTTAAACGTCCAATTTTTTTTTTTTTTAAATAATTATTGATTTGAAAATTTATTTTAGTTACTTAAATATAAATTTCAATAAAAAAATATTTAAATATTTAGACGTTTAAATTATGATTTCTCATTAACTTTTGGATACATTTTGTGATTCTCAAGGTAAAAAAGTGGGATGATTATATTAGGGTCATATACGCATTGAAATAACTATATAAACTATAAAATCATAATTAAAATTCGAATAATTATTAACTTTTTATTAGCTACAAATGAACACAAAGTAAAACAAAAATTAAACTAAAATTCATTTTTTTTCATTCGTAAATTTACAATACTGAAATAATAAATTAAGTTTTTGCAAAAGTTGCTGAATTTTTTTTTTTATTATTACATATTCATTATTTATATAATGGCTAGAAGGACATTTTGGGAAGAAAAAAATTCACATCATTCAAAGTCATAGTTTTACTATTAAATTCATTAATGAGGGGGTAAGTGTTACAATTGTAACATTAAGGGGGTAAGTGTTACCACCCCTATACTTTAAGGGTGCAAACTGTATTTAGCCATATATATATATATATATATATATATATATATATATATATATATATATATATATATATATATATATATATATATATATATCATAATTGAACTTCAAATACACTGATTTTTTTTTGTTTTAAATCACGTATATATATATATATATATATATATATATATATATTTGCAAATGCTTTTTGAAAGTGATTATGCAGTTTTTTTTGCTCATAATCTATTATAAGGTGTTTGCAAAATCAACTTTTGCTTTTGCTTCTCTTAAAATAATCTGCTTTAAGCTTTTTTTTTAAAAGCACCCCTAACCCTGCTTTTTCAATTTTAGTTCATTTTCCGAAATATTTGCAAACACCCCCAACTTTTAGAAATAAGCACTTAAAACTAACTTAAATCACAATCCTTAACTTCTGCTTTTAAATAATCATTTGCAAACACCACCTTAGTCACATGTGATTTCAGTCGGTTTTAAGTGCTTATTTCAAAACATTAGGGATTTTTACAAATTTTCTGAAAAATGAACTTAAATTAAAAAAACAGATTCTGGGGTGATTTACAAATTATACCTTAAAACTGCTTATTTTAAGAAAATCAAAAGCAAGAACAAAAACTCTTTTAGCAAACACCTAAAAAATAGGGCAAATGACAAATAGGCCTATGACAATGGACTTAAATGCACATAGGTCTAGACAAATAACAGTCTCGCAAATAAACCCATCCCCATGTCTTTTGTCTAAAATACCTCTCATAATATAATTTTCATATTTCTATCCATTATACTCTAACTTTATATATTGCACATTGATCTCGATTTAAATAAATATATTACATTAACACCTATTTTCATACTTTTTAAAAAATATTTATTTTTAAAAAATAATTTTTTTTTCTGAATTTTTTTTTCCGGGCAGTTTACGACATTGAATTTTTTTTTTATAACTTTTTTTTTTCTGAATTATTTTTTTTGGCTGGTCAATCATCGTTGACCGCAGGTCTCTGGCGTCAATTTTCTTTTTTCACTCTAAATTACTGTGTTAACAACAAAATTATTGTCTGTATTATTGAATGCCAAAACAGTATATTACTAATATTAATGTCCCGAACAGTAATATTACTAATATTACTGTCTCAAACAATAATATTACTGCACGAGACAGTAATTACCGTCGGAGACAGTGCGGTCGAAGACAACAAAATTGCAGGCCAAGACGATAAAATTAAATAATACAGTAAAATTATTGTCTCAGATAGTTAAATTGCTATCGGGGACACTAATATTACTGTCTACGACAATAATATTATTGTCTTGGCCTGCAATATTACTGTTTGAGACATTTATATTGCAGACCAAGACAATAATATTAATGAAAATACTTTGTTCAAGAAAAATATGGGTTTCATAAATAATAATAATAATAATAAAAAGTCAACCTCGGTAACCGACAGTGAACGGCGAGTAGGGGTGCAAAATCGGACGGATCGGATCGGAAATAGGGCTTTCGGAAAATTTTCGATTTTATTCGGAAGTGTTTTATGAGTTCTGATTCCGATTCCAATTTTTTCGGAATCTAAATATGAAATCCGATTCCGATTTTTCCGGAATAATCGGAATTGTGGAATTTTTCGGAATTCTTTTATAAAACCATCATATTTACTGTTTATATTCAAAATCCTTGGCAAAAACAACCTAATTCGAGATGATAGAAATCCTTACCCTAATCCATATGCTAAAAGGACTGAAAAAAGGAGGATAGAAAAATGATAGAAAATTTACCTATTATTAAGATTTAAGATGGATAAATAAAATTCGAGATGAGCACAAACAACGGCATTACAAGGAAGAAGAAGAAGAAGAAAAGGAAAAATAAGGGATTTTTTCCTACTGAGAAAGTTTACCTACTGAGAAAGTCTCTCTATGGACTCAAGCAATCACCTAGATAGTGATACAAAAAGTTTGACAATTAATTTCATGAGTGAAATTGGTTTCAGAAGAAGAGAATATATATGATCCTTGTGTATATCTTAATGAAACTTATTGTACAAAGCAAATTCTACTTTTTTTTTGTATGTTGATGATATGCTGATCATTGGAAAGGAAATATAAGAAATCAATCAACTAAAGCAGAAGAAATATAAGAAGGATTGCTTGGATGTAGGTTCAAACTGAACCAAATCTTGACTTCATTTTTTAATTGTTTTGATAACATATCAAAAACAGACATATACACACAGTTTCTCAACATATGTTATTTTAATTGTAGATTTGGAGAAATGAATAAAAAAGTAAGGGTAGTAATAATATTTTATTGAAATCCGATATAAATAATATGATTTAACATATAACTTCCCTGATTAAAGTAGTGTGGCGACTATTATTCAATATTTGATGATTCTCGTGTATACACTTAATTAGTGACGTTCATATTTATCTTATTAATAAAAGTAAGATTGCTCCTGGTAAACCTTAAAAAAATTTCCAGCTTATTTGATAATTTCATTGTCATCTATTTATTTAATTTTTTTTTATTTTTTTTATTATATTTCATTTAATATAATAAGTTCAAAAAATGATTTGAAACCTCAATTTTGTTGTTTAAATTGAATTTACTATTGTACTAATTTTACACCAACCGCGTGCATCGCACCAAATTTTATTAAATTCACTATAGTTTTGACTTTTCATGTACTCAATAAAAACATAAAACTGAAACCAAAATTAACACATGAAACAGAGCTCCAGCACACTATATATTACAGGACTGAAACCAACAATAACACATACAAAAGTTACATAAAATTTATTAAAAAGGCAGCTGAACCAAATATTATTGATAACATATATATACCAAATTGAAACTCAAAGCAGGTTTTGGATGAATTCTTTGATCTTTTGAAACAATTTATCAGTTTCTTGAGCTGTTTTCGGGTCCATATCGACGGCGATCTTGTTCAGGTAAAAGCTATGGCCGACGCCGCGGCTCGTCACGAGCTCGACTTCCTTATTTGCCCTTTTCATCGCCTCGTAGAACTCCATTTCAGTATCCTTCATCAGGTCCTGATCCGCCATGCAGTACAGATACGGCGGCAGCTTCAGCTCCTCCACCGCCGGCGCCGCCTCCCCCATCGGGCAGGTGATCGGGTGGTCCTTCGTTGCACCCACCGGCAGCGCCAGTTTCAAGAACTTGTCCGCCATGTCAAGTGTCAGAAACGGTGTCTCCGGCTGCTCCAGCTCCGACTTGCTCCGCCGTGAGCGGCAGAATCCGGGGTGGATGGGTATGGCGCCGGCGATCCTCAGCGGGGTGATGTCCTCCTCCCCCGCACGCGCCGCCACGTTGTGGACTATGTTCCCGCCGGAGCTGTCCCCGATGAGGAAAACCCGGCTGAAGTCGGCGTTGTCGCTTAGCCAGGGCTGGTGGGAGCTTCCGCCGGCGACGGAGCGGAGCCAGAGGAGGGCGGCGAAGCCGTCGTCGCACGCCGCCGGGAGGCGGTGCTCCGGCGCACGGCGGAGGTAGACGGACACCACCACTACCCTGGCGGCGCGTGCGAGGCGCGTGTAGACGGCGTAGTACATGAACCAATCCGCCTCACTGATGCAGAACCCTCCGCCGGGGAAGTGGAGGAGTAGTGGTAGTTTTTCCAGGTCTCCTTCTTGCCTCTCCGGCAAGTATATCCTGAGCTTAAGGCCGCCGCCGTCGGTGATCACATCGGAGGTGGCGACGCCGTCGACGAAGTGGTGGTGCGGCGGGACGGCGTCGGACATGAACTTGACTTGTGGAGGTCCGGTCCACGTGCGGTCAACGGAGCCATCATCGAACAATGTTAGCCACCCCGAAACTTGATCCACCACTTTCTTTTCCTGCACCATTTTAATTGTTAATTATATGAATACAATAAATTTGAAGCTTAATTAATAAAATTACAAGAAATGTAATATTTGAGATGAAATAAATTGATGTATGAGAAACAAGATTTATAGTGGGGGGTTTTAGTGCAGAAGTGGTAGGGTTTGACTTTGGTCAATGATTAAACAAATGTTTGGTAGTGGGAAACGAAATTTCATGTTGAGTGATTTGGAATGGTAGTGCAAACTTCAGGGAAATTGTGTATCTATTTCAACATTTAGATTGTGGGCCAAGTTCACATTTATAATACTTCAGTATTTAATTGACAGATCAAATAATTTTCTATTTTTGGTATATATATATATTTTTTTTTCTCGAAGAAGGGTATGTTTTTGTTGTTATGCTCAAGACAGTTGAGACTTGAGAGATAATTTCAACTTTCAAGTGCAATTTTGACTATGATTCATTTTGAAAACTTTTCTTCCGCATTTACCGTTGTCGACGGAGCGGAACTGTACTACATGATAATATTACGTTCACCGATCAACAACGCAAACAAATAAAAAGAAAATCTAAAAAAAGACAATATTGATGTGGTTGAAAGTAATATTAATGTGATTATAGTAATTTTACTATCAACCACATCATTATTACTGCCAATGGTAAGCGGCAGACGGAAAAAAATGGTCAACGCTGCCGAGACCGTTATTGACCGCCAGTCAGAGGTGGCGGACAAAAAACATAAAATCGGCGGCGACGGTCTCTAATGGCGGAATTTATTTTTGAAAAAGAAACTTAAAAATTGAATTTTTGTGTTCAAAATTGATAAGATCTGAGTTAAATTAGACTTACAATTAGAAATTGAGTTTAGAGGGTTGAGGGTATTTTGTCATAACATTCATCTTGCTCATGTAATTCATCTTCTTCAGATCGCTATTGAGGTCATCAATCTGCCTATCTACAATCTCCTCGTGGTTTACTTGATATTCAGGTAGCTCCGAAGGTTCAACTGCCATGGTACTCCAGAATGGATGCAAATCTGAAATGAAGAACGTGTCATTATCTTCCATTTTCTGCACAATTTTGCACGCGCAAGGGAGCCCATGAGTATTCCGAAGATAGTGGGTACAAATACTTGGATTTTGCATCGCCGAGGACTCCATCTCTTGATCTAATTTCTCCAATGCCAGGTGCGTAACGTAACAAATCAAACACTGAAAGCACGACCACGTTGCAGTATGCTTCCGTATCTTGGATGATAATGTAAAATCTCACTTCAACTGACTAATTTGGATATGAACTTGGTCCCGAAGTTTGCCTTGCACGTTATCAACACATCTGGTCGAAGCATTTAACCAACATTTGCAAAAGAATGAACACTCTCCACCATGTTCGATTACAACGACAATCAAATTATTTATATATTTTTATATAATATGTTATTTTTTAATGTATTGTTTTTACGATTTTACGATATAAAATTACATTATAAATTTTACGATTTTACGAGCTTACTTACTTAATTGGTTTTATAAAACTACATTATAAATTATAAATTAAACAATCGTAAAAGCTTACTTACTTATTGGTTTTGTACGTGCAGTCCATCAATATAACATACGTGAACAATCGTAGTAGCTTAATCGATTCGGAGCATGCGGACATAACATCTGTTATTGTGTTATTCGTTGCACTATGGATGCGATGCCAATATCGATATTCGGCCTGTTGAAAGTTATGCATCAGAAACTGAATAACAGTCATCCCCCCATTTCCTCCGATTTAATCTTGGCCAACTCATTGTAAACATGGTTCATATATGGAGGGTTGTATCATCAGATCATCCTTCCTCAATCTATCCGTGATTAACATTGGCTTCACGTGAGAATTTCTCAATTATTTAATTCTTGCTTTATGTTGTGGAGTTATACGATTAGTCTTACCATGTCTGTGAGGAAACAACGCCAGAGGATGAGTATGCTGGCCATCGCTGATAGTCAACCGCCGTAATTCATCAAACCTTAACTTTTTACCAATTAATTTGAACGGACAATCCCATTTTTCGTTCCAGTGTTTCTAGCATCTTCCACATCGATATACGTTTGTCGGCCATGTCCGTATTTTTCACACGTCAAATACTAGGCATTCTCCCTTCTTAACTGACAAATCAAACAGTGAGAATGACTAACTGCAGTTGTTTTTGCCCACTTTATTAATTCTTTTCTACTATCGAACACAATATCAACTTGGAAGAAGTGAGAGAAATCTTCATATTCGTATCGCTCCAAAACTGCGGGATCGAAATACAAGTTGTCTCCATGTTGCTGTTAAAGATAAATTAGTTAGATACTTGCCACAGAGAGAGACATTAGGGATTTCGTATAAAAGTACACGAAATAATATGCCACGAAACAGGCAATAATGGATTTTTTTTTCCTTCATTTCGTACATAAAAACACGAAATAATATAATATGTTTCATAGTGTCTTGCATGAAATAATTGAGAAAACAGAATATGATGTGTATTTCGTGATAGAAATCACGAAATTGAATGCAACATTTCGTGGTATCCTACATGAAACGCATAAAAATCGACGATTTTCAGACAAAAACGTAATTTTTTACCTTATTATCGGAATCGATGTTGGCCATGTTGATAATTGTTGTATTCTAACTGATTGTAGTGGAAACAAATCACGATCTAGAAAGTTCGATTTATTTGGAGGTTGAGAGAAATTGGAAAAAGTTAAAAAAATATTCTACAAATGAATTATTTCGCTCTATAACTGAAAAAATGTACTGATAATAGCAAACCAAAAACTAACGCCTAATGGTCCATCGAAAATCTTAACTGTCTTCGTGAAATGTATAAATTTAACTAAATGAAAAAAAATTACAAATGATTCCCTAACGTGTGCTTAAATTACAAAAATCGTCTCCTTGTTTGTGAAAATCTTATTTGGTGAGATGAAGAGTTTTTCTATTGAGAGTTAAATACATTTGTTTGTAAATACGTTTTAGTTTTTAATATAATATTGCATAAATATGTGCTTTTGCCCCATCTTTTTTCTTCTCTATTCCACTATAAGATCTTTTTCCTTCTCTATTTTTCCACTTCCGGTCCGTGGAGCTATTATCGAACGAAGAGTTAGATGCTACACCTGATTATTTATATTTAGTTATTCTTTTATCGTAGATCTAATTAAAGAAACAACTGTTAAGCACAAATACACATGGATATATGCATACTTATGTGTAGATTTACGGTTGAAAATCTACCAAATATAATTAATAAAGTGTAACATTTAACTACCCATCATCAAACAATGTTGGCCACCAAGTGTAAGACATGATTAAGTAAACAATCTCTAAGCACAAATATACATGAGCATATGTATAATTATATGTTGATCTACGGTTAAAATATATCAAATATAAATAATCAAATATAACATCTAACTACCCATCATCGAACAATGTTAGCCTCCAGGAAATTACTTGATCAATTAATTTATTTTCTTGCACCATTGTGGGGTCGAATTGGGGCTTAAAATGTTACGAACAATTAGAAAAATATAATATTTGAGTGAAATAATATTTATAATGGTTTTAGTCTGAGATTGGGACTTTGTTTTTTGTTCTTTTGGTAAAAAACAAATGGGAGGTAATATTGATTAATTGGTAGGTAGAGGGAAGAAATTTCATGTTACTTATTTTAAAATAGTGCAAAACTTCAGAGAAATTGTTATGAATTTCACAACTTTTAATTTGGGCCTAGTTACATGATATTGTCATCATCTATCTACACCCAATTTAATTATTCAGAGTTTTAAACGAGAGTTACTAATAGGGGTGAGCAAGTCGGACCCATCAACCCGTTGAACCCGTCAAACCGTTAAAGACCGTCCCGCTAGGACCGGACGGATAGATCCATCTATAGGACTGGGTCCTAAAATGGACAAGATCCGCGGGTTTGGGTCTAAGACGGGTTCAAAAAAATTTAATACCCGTGAGACCCGTCCCATCCCGCTATAAAAAACGACGTTGTTTTGTTTATATTATGTAGTATAATAAATTAATAATGTATAATATATGAATAAAGTATCTCTTACATGTCAAAACTTATATCTATAACGACGACATCGTCTCATTTTGTCTACAATTATCTATTTTATTTTAAATCTTGTCTTATAAATGCTTGAATTTAGTTACTCTTTTTTGGATGATTTATGGTTAAACCTTATTAATTTTGATTTATTCGTGACATTTATCATTGATGTTATTCACGTTTGTTTCAATTTAAAATTTTACGCTTGGTCATTCATTTTAATTTCTAAATAATTTCGTGTAAAACTTATAACTAATTAAAGAAAATAACTTTTTAAAATTACGACGGGTTTCGACCCGTGAAGGTTGGGTTCTACTTTAAACCCGCGATAGACCCGTCTATCCTAAACCCGTCGAAAACCCACAAGTTTGGTTCCTTAAAATCAAGAACCGTTGGTTGACGGGACGAGGGCGGGTTTTGTTAGAACCCGCTGGTTTACGACCCGCGCACACCCCTAGTTACTAATGTTACGATTCGTTTTGGAAGATATTTCCATTTTATTTTGAAAAAAATACCTTTTAAAGGAATAATTTGAGAATGAAACTAATGTTTGTGTATTATTTGAGATGAGTTAACACTCTAGCAGTTAAATCATGTATAAAAATGTAATTTATAAGAAATTTTAAAAAAATAAAGTAATGTTTGTTTTTTCTCGTAATTTTTTTTTTTACTGTAACAATTAAATCATGTATGAACGAGAGATGAACTGTTGAAATTGTTTTCAGACTTTTTTTTTTTTTAAAGCTTAACAAACACGAATTCATTTCTGGGAAGAATAAAAATGAGACGGGAACCACTTTCTGTCAATAACACGAATTCGTTTTGGGATTAACAATATTTCATAATTAAGCATATGGGGAAGTAATAGTTTGATGAAAATATATTTATTTCTTACCAATCTAATACCCTTGAATTGAATGATCTCTTTCTTCACATACATCTTTACCCACTCCACTCGTATTTTTGTAACTCTAAAACATGATTTAAACATTTTTAATCTAGTAATATATATTCCTTCTCGTGCAACATTTAGTGAATTTAGTAATTCTGACTACTATAGTATATATTTTTTTAGGGTAAATTACGGTTATTCCTGAATTGTTGGTAAATTACGAAAATCCCTCTCATGTATGGGTAATTGCAGCCACCCCCTTCAACTATGTATTATCTTACGAAAAAACCCCTCAAGAGGTAAATTTAGGGATGTTAAATCGGTAAAACCAAACAGAAATT